TTATTTTCACTACAGTAAAATTTGTCTTTTCCAAATATAAATTTCTTACAATTTCATTTCTATGGACAATTTTCCCTTACAAAAGGAAAATTCTTATAGCACTGTGAACTGATAATGTGCAGATATATTCAGTGGAGATATCTTGCAGGTTGACACTATTATACAAATTCAAAGTTTAAAATTTGTTTGAATTAATTTCCACTCCTTATTACTCTTTCATTGTATTCTGTCATTGGTGCCTAAATAGTTTATTGACAGCCAACTCTGCATGAAAACATGTAATCTTAATTTTTCTTCCAGTTACAAGTGTCAAAAGATAATTCATTACTTTATTTTTAATTAGAAAGTCATTTGATTTATATTCATTCCTTATATTGAAAATTTTGGATGTAAAAACTTGGCTACATGGACTATTTATATAATTTGAAATAAGTCTTCTTTTTCCAAAGTAAATATATAGAATAAACCATCTTTGACTAAGTATAAGGAATAGAACCTCACACCTTGGTATTCTGTGTTATGATTACTGTGCTGAGAAATTTTATTTTATTTATCAATTTATAGATTAATATGCACAAGTTACAGCATTGAACAGAAAAAATATATAAAAGTGTTTCCAACAAACTAATCAATTGAAAAAGAATGGTTTTCTTCACCTGAAAAGGTTTTCTTTTGTTTTTATAAAAAGGAAAAAGTATTTATTATAATCCTACTTGAACACTTTCTGCATTTCCATGACCAGAACAAATTGTTTTTGACATGGGCAAAATTTCTGCCTAGTATAAAATAGTAAAAACTAACAGAAAATGATAACAGAAATTGCAGAATTAAAATTTACTGGAAAATAATGTTCAGATGATTGGTTGGGGATCTAATGAACAAACTGAATTTTTGTCTAAGTACTTTGGTAATTTTCAAGAAAGTCAGATAACTTAATTGGACAAAGGTAATTAGTTACTGCAGCTCTAGAAGTACCTCATAATGCATCATTTAAGAGATTATGGGAAATTTTTCAGACATTGATCCAAAGGAAAAAAATGTTATTTGCTTATGCAAAATTTTCAATTTCAGTTCCAATTTAGCATCTCTTAATCAAAAACTGGCATATTAATTTCCCCCTCCTTTTTTTTTAACTGAAGTCAGCATTTAGCTTTACAAGTCAACCTTTTTAGCTGCCTGAATGTAAATGAAACTGTTTGGATTGCTATATGTATTTGTGCATATATTTGTGTATTGGTGTGTACAAATATACTGTGTGTTTGCATTTGAATATGTGTACAAGTGCTTATGCATCATGTGCATAATCATAAAATTTTATATATGAATGAGAAAGCCTAACTCCTAACACAAAGACATATAAAGTATATAAAGTTATATGTATGTATACTGCTTCACAAGAATGTAGTATGTGTGATTATTTTTGTAGATATGTTAAAACTCCACTTGGGAACTAATCTTGTTTATCTAGAGAAATAATTTTTTATCATTTCTAAAATACTTTTTTCACTTTAATTCATGATAAAACTTTTCCCCATGTTTCTTTGTAAATTTGTTTTTGTGTCAAGTGAATGAAGAAAATACAGTCTTCTTCTATCAGAAGTTGCTAAGAAATAAAATCTGGGCTTTCGTTTATTTTTCTTGCATTCATTGAATGATAAAAACACCGTACTCGGTTTTCTTATGAAAGATAAAAGAAAATCCAGAACACAAATAAAAACAGGCATCAAATTTTTTTAACACAAAATGTCTCATTATGAATAAGAAAATGCAATAGAATTTGTCAGTAAGTGACACCAAATCCTATAATTCACAAACCATTATAATAACAACTGAAATATATGGGATATACATTTTTAGAGTAACAACCAGACTAACCAGACCATGTCCCAATTGATTTTCATCTTTTTTATTGTTTGTGCTTTTCATTTAAGATAGGTGATTTAACAGTAGAGTGAAATTTTATTTAAAAGTAACTGATGACTCATGATCACTAAAATCAGCTATCAAAAATGCTTTTTTATTTTTTTGGACAAATTGCAGGAGGTTTGTCACTAGAAACTAAAATGACTGTTTTGATTGTTGCATATTTCTTGTTTTAAAGACAGAAAGAATAATCATTTTTGTTGGGATATATTACAAGATGAAAAGCAAAATGGTGTCCTGTAACAGTTATATTTGTGGTTAATTTTAGTTTTCCAGGTTCACATTTGTAACAAGACAATTTAAAAAGTTTATAAGTGTTTTATGAGGACAGAAAGTGTGACAATGAAATCTGAAGGCAAATTGGGATAGCAAAAGATGACTTCCAAAAGCTAAGTAAAGTATTAAGAAACAGGAACATTTCATTAGAAACCAAGAAAAGAATACTGAATTGTTATGCAATATCATTCCTCTATATAGCAATGAACACTAGATAATCACCTTGTAAAAGATAAAGAGATTTCAAACAAAAAAGGATGCTGAGAATACCATGAACTGAAAATGTGAGCAAAAAGGTTTTAGAAAAACAGAAATAAAAAGAACAATTAAACTTAACACCAGGAATATACAGTTGAAATTCTTAGGGCACATAACAAGGAAAGAGAGCTTGGAAAATTTGATACTCACAGGACAAATTAAAGGCAAGAGGAACAGAGAAAAACAATACATAACCTACCTAGCAAGCTTGAGTAAATGGATGGCAAATCAAGGGTTAGGAGTGATAACAAAAAGACAAAATTCATTAAGAGATCTACAGAACAGAAATATTTCTTCAGAAATATGACACACAGAAGAAGAGGAGTTGATACCTCTTCATTAACTTCCTTTGAAGTTCATGTTGAACTAAGGGACCTGAGTCCTTATATCTGTATGCATACAATGGGCTTAATTTTACAATAAATAGGTGACAGGTTAAAGGTAATTTAGAAATAAAGATGACTGAAATTTTTAGGGAAACTTTTTTTGTTATCTATAGAAGATCAAACATCAGATTTTGAAATAATCACACCAGTTATTGGTTGCTATGTTTCATTAGTTGAAAAGTTAAATTTTACTGTTTCTTATTTTCCTGGCTGAGTTAATTTCATTGCCTGATTTTTATTTTTATGACAAATTTGGCTCAAATTTTGAAGGTAAATCTGTCAGAAAAATAAAAAACCAGACAATGAAATCAATTCAACATTCATGTGTATGTGTGTGTATGTGTGTGCATGTTTGTGTGGAATATATTAAGTGGGTACTGATTTAGCTGTAGCTATAGATTTTCTATCAAATGTATTTCATTAAATAGAATAAAATGCATTTTTCTCTGGCTATTCTCCTGGTCAAAAAGGCTATTCTGTATTTATCATTAAAGCATATAAATCATATTAGTAGTGTTTAGTTTTAAATAATTTTGTTCAAAATGATCACTTTTGCTTGTATTATAACAGCTGTAATATCAGCATACATTTTTCAAAAATTTTCTCAAAATTAACATAGTTCTTTTTATTGATTTTAACATTTTCAGTATATTATGCTTTTTTATTTTAGGAAAGTAAAAGTTGTGAGCCATACATGCAAAAATTATTGATATAGTTTATAGAGAAGGAACAGCAGATGAGTGAAGGTGTCCATAGTGTTCTCATTGAATGATTTGTTAGACTAGTTGTGGTTGACAAGATTAAAATCAAATCATTGCTTGAGAATGATAACCATTATACATTGTGTTTGCATGATGAAAATACCCAAATAAAGTTTGAAAAACATTTTTACCTGCTTGGGTATGTCAATCACTTTGATATATGACTTCCACATAAATGAAGTAAAAAATGTGTGGGAGATTATTTAAGTTTTCTGTTTATGAAAGAAATTATGACAATTACTTTACAACAGCATGAAATGCAAGTAATTGTTGAGCAAGTGAAATGAACAACCACTAAAAGTATGAAGCTGGTCTTCATCCAATGTAGGTGATATTGTGTATATATTGGATTTGGAAGGGTATTATTTACTATAACATCCTTCTTAATCAACAAAAGATTGATTTAAGCAAGTACTGTTCACAGACCCATTTAATCAATAACTAAGGAAAATTGTCTGAAATTACTTTAGAAAATTAGCGTAATATTCCATCAAGATGATACTAGATTACATTTTTTTGATAACTGACAAACATTTAACTAAATCATTGAATTTCAACAAAATAGGGATTTCTTCCTACTAAGTAGAATTTTAGGATTTCAATGGGCATTAGGTCTAGACATTGACAGATTTAGACTGTTTGAATATTGGTCTTTCTACAAACAACAATTCAAATAAGGCACCATTTAAGACAATCTTGGAAGCAAGGAACTACATTCAGAAATCTGGTGAAAAGGACATATGGGCAAGAAAAGATTGAAAACAACTGAAAAAAAATTACTATTTGGCAATGTTTAATCTTTGTGCCTGCTAAAAAACAGTGTGTCAAAAGGACAATTATTCCCTTAACACTGCTATTACACTGTTAGTTTTTAATCTCTTGATGATTAGAATTTTAATAAAACCCCAAAAATATGTTGAACCAAAAATAATGAAATCAAACATTATTTTAATCTTAGATTTTAGGCAAGGCCACAAATACTCAGTATTTTGAGTTTGTATTTTCCTATTCAGTGGATGGATAGAGTTTTTCTTGTGTTTAATTACAGAATATCTTAAATTTTTACCACAAATATTGCATTGTAGTTGATTTACATATTTAGATAATTTTGTAATTTTTTATAAATTTTTGAATATAAAGATTTCTTTTTAAATTTGTTTCTTTATAAAATGGTAAATAATAAATCTTTGTAAAATGTAAATACCACATTGTATTTGGGTCACTTATTTTTATAATCTTGTAAATAAACATAGCTGAGGGAATGAAAAAAAATAGTGTAATAGAAATGTCAAGAGAATAACCATCCTTTTGACACACTGTATTTTTGTAGGTACAAAGGTTAAACATTGCTGATTATTTAATATATTTTCCTTCATTATTTTATCTTCGTTAACAGATTCTTTTTGGTGATGATGGTTACCTCTATATCTTTGTGGGAGATGGTGGGAGTGGAGGAGACCCTCATGGATACAGTCAAAATAAGTAAGTACTTACTAAATTTGTTTAAATTGTTTTGCTAATGCCTGTGGTTTCCCCTACAAAGAGGGATGCTGGTTCAATCCCTGCTGGAGAACACATTTTCTTTACTTTGATTTCTTGAATGCATAGGCCAATAGACATAATACACACTGTTTAATAAATTAAAATGTGGTATCTATTCCAAATATGAAGCATCCAGTATAATTGTAATACCTATTCTATTATTAATAGACTCTCCCACAGATAATAAGTAGTAGTAGTAGCAGTCATCAGGGGTCTGAGTGAGCTGGTCGAGTCATTCGATGTCGGACATTAAAGTATCACCACCACAACTAGATTGCTGTGTCATTAACTATTATTTCAAGTTCCTAATGTTTTGTACGTCAAACCCTTTTAGGACCGACTTAGTAAAATACAAGCCTCCACTGCAAAAACTACTCTACAACAATAATTTCATTGGAAGTAATAAAATTGTTGCATAAAAACTAAATCTATTAATTCTTTAGAAAGGTAATTTTCATTGGTAAAGAAAAGTTTAAGGTGGTTAGGAAATTATCAGTTATGGATGAGTTGTTTATCTTATGACAATTCATCCATAACTGATATTCTCCTAACCACCATATCAGATGTGATCTGAACATGCAACCTTCTGATCTGGAGTCAGACTGTTCCTGTGAAAGAAAAGGTATATGTTTTCAATATAGCAAGATACTGTAGCTATCTAAAGTCACAAGCTAGTCATGCAAATGTTGTATTTCATCTCTGGATATGTTATGATGACCACTGCATTGGAGAATGGACAAATTTAATTCATCAATTTTGGTTTTGGTTGATTTTCCATCTGGTTATATACAAATCTATAGAACTGCTTTGAAGAGGACATACTACTTCTCATTATCTTGCAGCCTTATATCCTGGTTATGATAGATTTCTGATTGATTGGTCAAAATATGACATTGTGGCCTGGAAATTCTTAATATCCATCTATGTTTAGAGATGGTGAAAATTTGGTCTTCTTGCTATTATTTATTTTTATTCAATTATTTTTCTATCACCCCAATTTTTTCATTTTACAGATAAATTTTATTTATATCAGAATTTTTACATGCATGTATATTCAGTACATTGTTTATTAAAAATTATATACAAGAATTTTTTTAAGTTTTAGTTAATATTTTTATTTAACTGTTCTTATTTATGTATAAGAGAGCATATGTTTGGGTTTAATATTGATATTGCGTGAATGTTTTGTAATCATATGCTCTCAACCATGCATTTGGTTATTTTCAAGATCTGTGGTGATCTAGATCTATTGTTTTTCTCATAATCAAATAATTTTAAATCTCTGAGTGGCCATTATACAGGGTGCAGCAGAAATACCTGCCATGTTTTAACATTTCGACAGATTATAATATGGAAGGTATTTTTGCTGCACCCTGTACTTTACAGTAATTTCATCAGTGTCTGACTTGTGCAGGAGTTTCAGTTTGAATTTCTGGCATTAGGAGTTATCATCACTTTCATTATTTACATGCCCTCATCTTTGTTGATGTTATCCCAATATTTCATCCACTGTGCTCTCCAGCCTTCATCATGTGTATGTCAATTCAGATAACCTACAGGGAGTTCCAAACTGAACCATTATTTAATCTATGGAGGGTAGACTGTTCTCATTCCACTCTTCTCATCTAGTTCTTTATTTTAGTACTGTTCAGTTATTGCTCACCTTCCACTGAGTCCAAGCACACACTGCCTAGTACAGTGATTGAATTCACAATTACTATATCACAAAATTTACAAACCAATGCTTTAATCAAGTGGGCTATTTTCCTATCACTCAATAGCCTAGGATATTAAAGCTTGGTTCAGGAATTTAGTGACATGGAAATTGTCAGTTCAATCCTTTGGCTAAGCTGTGTGTACTTGAACTTAGTGGAAACTGGGCAGCAATAATTGAGCAGTACTAAAATAAACTAGAAGAGATATCCCTAGACCTGAGCAGTAGAATGAGAACAGTCTTAGCCACCTTCTGGTTGGTTTGTATTGCTGTGGACAATGATAATTATTTTGGCCTTTTTCCCCTTAAAAATGAATCTACAAATGACAGTTACAACTAAAAAAAATATGATTAACCAGTAAACAAAAATCAGCTATCCAAACCAACCTTTCTTTCTCCAATATTTGTGGTATTTGTACCAATTTCTGAAGTGGAGAATCTTTTCTCTTAAAACATTTTCCAGATATCTTAGCACTTTGTGAAGCTAATTTACTCTTCTATTGCTATGAATTAATTTTTTGTTCCAGGCTATCTTCCTCTTTGTTGGAAAGATTTTAGGATACATATATATTGGTGTTTACATCCAGGAAAATCTTCCAATGGCAGGAGACTCTTTTCTTGGGTCTCTGAATGGTTATTTCATGTTTTTTCACCTTTCTTTATTGAACTCTGTTAGCTATCTCTTTTTCTTTCATCACTCACCATTTCAGGATTTTAACATATTAGGCAAAATATTTGGCAGTATAGAAACGGCTCTCTCACTCAATACATCTGTAAACATTTTTTTCCTATTGAGAATTGTGCCACTGAGATTCCTTCTTGCAAAAAAAAAGCCATCATTGATGCTTTGGTTCTTGTGACTACTGGTGGCTCTGTAATAGCGTCTTAAATAAAATTAAGACATCTATCCATACTCTTTTCACTCAATTTGAGGTGTGAGATGTTAACATATGCTGATAAATCAAACTGTTTTGCTCATAAATTCTTTTCAAATTCTACCCTTGACTCATCTGAAGTATGACATTCTACTTAGAACTTAATCTCTATTGAGTGATATGCATATGCATATAACTCTGTCCATGATTTCTGTTATCATCTCTAAACTGGATCTTCACACAGCAGATGAACTCAATGGTATCTCTGCAATAATTTTTAAGAAATGTGCTCCTGAACTGACTTCTGTTCTTTCTAAACTTTACAATAAATATCTTGCTGCTTCTTGTTTTTCTACTTGTTAGAAATCCTCTTCTATCATTCCAGTCTTTAAGAACTCAGGTAAACCATCTAATCTTTCTATCAGCCTATTAGTCTCTTACTTTTTTCTGCAAAGTAATAGAGGCTCTAATCAACTCTGAACTGGTTAAGCATCTCACATCACTGGGTTTTCTTGCAGACACACTCTATGGATTTTGCATCTCTAGATCAACGTTTTCTTTTCTTTTTATGTGCTGTGTCCTTTCAGAACATAGGCAATCATGGCCCTCCACTTCCCCATATCCCTTGTAGCTCTCAATAAGTTTTGTCCCTCTGCCACCTCCTCCAGATCATGTTCTGTCATCTACTTGCTTAAGCCTGCCAGGTATGTCATGCATTGCTTTCCCTTGTCTCTCTTTCCTACTATTCGACTTGTGAGTATCAGAATCATTTCTCCTTTCTCATTACGTGTCCCAGAAACTTCAGCTGCCTCTTCCTGATGTTAAGTACAAGCCTCCACCTTGTTTACATTCTCTCCAAGACCTCATTGTTGCTCACACTCTTATTCCATGATATCCTCAGCATCCTTCTATAGAACTACATCTCCATCGTTTCAAGTCTCTTCTTCATCTTTGAGGAGATTGTCCAACATTTACTGTTGTAAAGATGGACAAATGTCACATAACATATCAGTACTCTTTTTTTGTTTCCAAAGAGATCCTCCTGTCTCACAATACTCTGCCCAGCTTTTGGGATGCATCGTTGGCCATCCCAATACATCTACAGATTTTAGTGTCACTCTTGCCATCCTCTGTCAAAACACTTCCCAGATATTTAAGCTTCTACACCTACTTGATTTTAGTGTCCCCAATATATAAATCAATTTTACTGATGACCATGTATTCTGTCTTCTTGTAGTTTATGCTTAATCCCTTCTTTTCACTCTCTTTTGCTACCTTCTGTAGGAGGTTTTGTAATTTCTTTTCCATGTCTGCTATCAGTACTGTATCATCTGCATATCTTATGTTGTTAAGATTGTGGCTGCCAATACTGAATCCCAGTAGGATTTCCAATTCTCTCAGAATTGCCTTGCTGTATAGGTTGAATAGGTCTGGTGAGAAGATACATCCTTGCCTTATGCCCCTTTCTATTTTTATATATTCGCTGAATTCATTCTCTATGTTCATGCATGCTGTTTGTTGCCAGTATAGGTACTTATTATTCTAATATCTTTCCCGAATATATCAAGATTGCTGAGTAGTTCCAACAGCTCCTTGTGGCATAATTTGTCAAAGGCCTTTGCATAATCCTTGAAACATAGGTACATGTCCTTCTGCATTTGTATTGCTCTTTCTGATAATATCTGAGCAGGAATATGGCATTCCTTGTTCCAGTGTCTTTAAAAAACACACACTGATCTTATCCTATCTTTGGCCTGATTCTGCTGCATGCTCTATTCATCAGAATATGGATGATGAGTTTTGTTACATGGCTCATTGGCTGATTGTTTGGTGAAGTTCACATTCATTTGCACCTGGTTTCTTAGACACTGCTATGAAGATAGATCTGCTGAGATCTTCCAGTATATCCCCACTGTTGTAGATTTTATTTATTATTTCTGTGATCTTGTCTATGCCAAAGTCATCTAAGGCTGTCTGCATTTCCATTACAATTCCATCTGGCCCTACTGCCTTGTTTCTGTTCAATTTGGCTAGTGCAGCTTCTACTTCAGTTTTCAGAATTACAGGTCTATCGGTAGTTCTGTGTATTGCTGGATGTTCTCTTTTGCCATGGAAGAGATCTCCAATATATTCATTCCAGCGTTGAAGAATTTTTTCCTTCTCTAATATGAGCATTCCATCTTATGACTTTAAACAGCCTGTTGACAAGCATGTTTTTCTGTCCTTTTAGTTGCTTTATTTTTTTGTGCATATCTCCTTCGTTGGTGGTACTCAATCTCTCTATTTCTGTACATTTTTTGGTTATCCACTCTTCTTTAGCTTGTCTGCATTTAGTTCTTATTTAATTGTGCAATTTTTTGTATTCCATTTCATATCTTTGCAGGGTTTTCTGTTTCCTTTGCATCATGTTGAAAATCTCATCAGTCATCCATTCGTTTTTTCTTCTTCATCCCTTCTTCTTTGGGATAATATCATTTGCTGATGTCGCTAAAGTGTCTCAGTGCTTCCCATTTTGATTTTCCATTGTGTTCCTGATATCTTCTTTTCACATTGTCCAAATATTTTTCTTTCAGATTCAGGTTGCTCAGGAATTTGTTGTATTGCAATTTGGGTGCTTCATTAGGTTTCTTCAATTTCCACAGTTTCACTCTTAGTTTACTTATAATAAGGCAACGATCACTTTTGCACTAGCCACTTGGGTAGGTTTTGCAGTGAATCATTGCATTTCTGAATCTTTTGTTGATAGTTATGTAGTCAATTTGGTTTTAGTTTCACCTCCTGGGTTCCTCCATGTCCATAATCATCTTGGATGTTCTTGTAACTATTTGTTGGTTATTATCTGGTCATTGGCTGTGCACCATTGGATCCATTTTTCTCCACATTCATTGCAAGTTCCTTCCTGATATATCCCCTGTCCTCTCCTTACCTACTTTGGCATTTAGGTCTCCCATGATAATGATGATTTCTTGTGATTTGCAAAGAGCCTTAACACTGTCTAGCATGGAGTAGGAAGATTCAATTTCATCTTCCTTACTTTGTGCTTTCAGTGCATACACTATTATGATAAATATGTTGAAAGGCTTTCCTTTCAGCTTGACCACCATAATTTTTTCAGATAGTTGGTAGTATCCCAGAATGCATTTTTTAAATGTTTTATCTAGTATTAATCCTACTCCTTTGTCATTTTCTCTCCACTGCTGATGTATTAACAGTTGTCACTGTGAAAATCTATCAAGCATTGGATAAGAATGGAACATCTTGAGCTATTGTACTGGATATCTCAAAGAAATTTAACAGGGTATGACATTGCCCTTTTCACAAGGTTATTGTATTTCTGAACAAATTTTTGATCTGATTCAATCTTTCTTAAAGTGAAAGTTGTCTTGAATGGCCACTCTTCTAAATCTTTTTGTGTTAATGCAGGTGTCCCCTAGGGCTATATCCTTGGGCCTACACTGTTCCTTATTTTCATTAATGACCTTCAGTTCTTAGCTCTGTGTCTATACTGATGACACAACTGTCTTGTCTTAATGGTAAGTCTGATTGGTTTGGTATAGTCAAATTGGCACCTCATCTAAAAATGACCTACAATCTGCAGTTAACTGAGGCAAAAAATGGTTTGTTATTTTTAATGACCCACAAATGAAACTTTTTTTCTTTTAATCATCTAAGAGAACCTTTTTTGCTTAGCATCAGTAGGGCTGATGCAAACCTCCAGGAGATTGACACATTGTACCTTCTCAGGCTAACATTTTCCACTGACATGAAGTGAAAAGTTTATAGTGAATCACTTGTTAGGTATGCTGCTAGGAAAACTGCTTCACTGCGTCATGCTAGACAATTTTTCTTACCAGAATCTATCTTAGATATTTATAAGCCTACCATTCATACATGCACTGAATATTGCTGTCACATCTGCTCTGGTGCTTCTGTTATGTATTTAGAGATTCTTCATTAAATACAAAGAAGAATCGACAATGTTATTGGTCCTGATGTGGCATCTCAGCTTCTCAGCTTCAGTCACACTCCAACCATTGTAACATAGCTTTCTTTGCCTTTTCTATAAATGTTATCATTGTAATTTTCCTGATGAACTCTCATGTTTTGTACATAGCCTTTATGAATTTAAGTGCAGTACAGGATTAGAGACAAAGTCTCACCATTTTACCATTGAATGAAATTATAAGTTCTATACTAACTGTTGCTTTTCTCACACTACTTGCTTGCAGAGCTATTTTTTAGATTCTTACTTTCCAGTCAACTTTGATATTCAAAATGTTAAATGCAATGACAATCATTTATCTTTTGTCTTAACTCCTGTTCTTACATTTTTCTTTCCTTAATAATATTTTCTTTTTCTCATGTTCTTTCACAAGCAGTAATGCCTTGTGTCTTAGTGGCTTTATTGCCTTGCTTGAATGAAATTATTAAAAAGAAAGTCTAGCCACCATAGATTAAACAATGGGTTCAGTTCAGAATTCCCTGTAGGTTACCCAAATCAACATAAACCTAATGAAAGTTGAAGGGCAAAATGATTGACTTGTGATAACAATGACAAAATGAGGACAATAGTCCACATGTAAATAATTATTATAATTATTATCAGTTGTTGAATACATTTAAAACAGCAGTTCCAATGTTTCAAACTAGCAAATAACCATTATGTCTGAGTGAATGGATGATAAAACCACATTTATAAACAAAAACTGTTTTTATTGCTAGGTCAGTTCTTCTTGGTAAAGTTCTCAGGATTGATGTGGACCATTTTAGTCGCAACAGAAGTTATTCCATCCCACCAGACAACCCATTTGTAAATGAATCCGACAGTCGTCCTGAAATCTTTGCCTTTGGTATTCGAAATATTTGGCGATGTGACAAGGATGAAGGAGACAGAATAACAGGTTTGGACATGTATATTATAACAGCAGGAGGAAAGGAAAGAATATTTTTTCATGTTGACACTTTTTTTTTTATTAATGGTTATCTTGATCTCAAAAGAAATCAACTCTTTTTCTCTGCTATTTTTCTAATGTATTAAACTAACTTTTTATGCATGTTTGCATAAAAGCAATTGATAAAAAAATATGAGGTCATTTTTAATATTTTCTATGTAAACTAAGTAGGTCCTGAAATAATGACTCAGTTTAATCATAATCTTCCATATAAATAAATGCAAATATCAGTGTGTCACATTTTTTCAAGTTTAACCCTAAAGGCTGTAGCCCAACATATCATATCATTTTGGATTCAGACCATCTCTGTGAGCAAATTTAAAACATTCTGGACCCACAATCCTGAAATTTTGGATTCCTAAGTTTTCATTACTGAGATTGTTTTCGGCAATTTTTTACATTATTTTTTGCAACAAATCTTTTTGTACAATAACAATTTTTATAACTGGCAAATAAATTTGGGAATAATTGAAATTAATTGTGAAATCCAGTGAAAGTCATCCATAAAATAAAATAATTATTTGTATGGAAAGAAAGAACCTACATACATCAAATTGTCTTTAAATTAAGTGGCTGCAGAAGAATTATTGTCAAACTTTTAAAAGGTAAGCTTAAATATTAATGCAATACTTAAATGCAGCAATCAGTTTTGATTTCTTCCGTAGTTTATTGTTGCCTATCTCATATGGCAGCAGTATGCCTCAAAAAGAAATCTCTGCCAACAGAGGACCAGATTGCAATCAAAAGAGCCAAGGCTGTAGTGAGGAAAGAATATCCTGTGCAAATGGAAACCCAGATTAAATAGCAGCCAAGAGAGTTTTCAATGCTGAGAATATGCAAAGACCCAAACAAGAAACCTCCACAGAAGCTAGCTTAATTGCTGACCTATCAGGTAGATTTAAGCTAGTCAAGCAAGATATTTGATAGCATATACAATATCTTTTTTCTTAAAAGAAGTTCAAAATTATTTCCTGGATCTTATATATAAAATTGAGACTAATCTTTACCCAGATGCTATAGATTACCATTACTTGTACCTAGCCTAACTTTGTTATACTGTAAAGGGGTGAGTTTTATATGCCATTTTTATATTAGAAATATGATAACAGTATTTACTTTTTCTAAATCTCTTGCTCTAAATCTGGTTTATTTAAAGCAACTTTACAAGTAGGATGTCAGAAAATTAGAAAAAACTAAAGAGTGAATAATTTTAATATAATTTTGTAAATATGCTTTCAAAGACATGAACTAAAATTTCCTCATACCTTGTCCTGTTAATAATCATCTTGATATAAGCAGAGTATGAACAGACTTGAGAAATAAGATGGGGGACAATTCTGAGCTTCTATTACTCAATATAGAAAAGTATCAGTTCTCATAGGGGTTTGAATTCATGTTAAAAAATATGTAACAACAGAATAGAAGTTTTTTCTAGAACATATACTGATAGCAACCTGTTTGTATATGGATAAATAATTAATTCAGTAAGTATACAAAAATAAAAAGTGGTGTAAAATGAGGATGTATCTTCTCACCAAACTTATTAAATTTATACAGTGAGACAATTCTGAGAGAATTAGAATTCCTACCAGGATTCATTATTAGCAGCTGCAATCTTAACAATATATGATATACAAATGGCATAGTGTTGTTAGCAGATATGTAAAGGAAACTGCAAAAACTCCTACAGAATAGAATGAAGGAAAGTGAGAAGAAATAAATAAAAACTCCATTGCCAGAAGCCAGAATGCATGGTTGTTAGCAAAAGGAATAGCCCCACATGCAAATTAAAAATTGGAAATACCAAAATCAAAAAGTACAACTATTTAAATATCTGGGAAGTGTATTAACAGCGGATGAAAAGTGTGACAATGAAATCCAAAAGTGCATTAAGATATGGAATATACCTTCCAAAAGTTAAGCAAAGTATTAAAAAACAGGAAAATTTCATTAGAAACAAAGAAAACAATAATGAACAGTTATATAATTTCAGTCCTCCTCTATAAAAGTGAATGCTGGACAACCTCCTCACAGATGAAGAAGCGACTTGAAGAAATAAAAATGTCATTTTACAGAAAGATACTGAGAATACCACAGGCTCAACATGTTAACAATGACAAAATTTTAAAGAAAACACAAACAAAAAGGACATTTGTACTTAATATCAGGAAGAGACAGTTGAAATTTCTAGGGCACATAATGAGGAAAGAAGTTTGGAAAATTAGATACTCACCAACATCCTGAAGATACACAGCACATTGAAGAAGAATTCTTTTTCCAAGAACCCTTGATTCTTCCTAGTATTCTTCATTTGCAAGTTATCATAGAAAAAGTTTTCCAAGCAACAGTAAACAGATTATTTATAAATTACGTTTCATAATTAACTTCTGTCATTTCTACTGTAAAAATACCAGAAACTGGTATATAGTTGACCAGTAAAGCAAAATGGAGGGAAAATTGTTTCCTTCAAAAATCACTAAATATAGTTTAGATAACTTCATAAGATAATAGGAATTAAAATGTATTTCCAGTCTTGGGTAAGATACTCACAAGAAGGAAATTACTGGAAAGTAATTGAAACTCACCTGAAGCGAGCTGAATGTGTAATGCTCCTCATGCCAATGACACTTCCACCAAGCTTCTCTATGGCATATGACTTCACTTAATTTTGATGTGTTACTCTCGAATTTATATCTAAACTGGGGTCATCACATAGTATATCCAAAGTAATGTTTTTAAATGTACATTACTCCACTCACAAATTACTCTCAAATTTTGATACATAGTACAGTATTAGTAAGAATAGGTTATTTTTTTATTTGAACAGTCTAAAAAGTGTAAATTGATCTTTAATTTGTCCAAACAGCAAATAAATAAAATTAATATGAAGTCATGACTGAATATTTCATTTGGATTACTATTTTACTTAATTTTAATAATATCTCAACCCATTAGTTTTGCCATTTTCAAGATAATGCATCCTCCAAAAATGATATTGAAATGTCCCTGAATACTTTACTTAAAGAAATGAACTGTATGAATATAGGGTTTAAACCACTGAAAAATTTAAACTGTCAATTTCTGATTAAGCACATTAATTTCAAATCTAGAGAAAATACTTTCTTCCTTAAAATCATTTTTAAAAGATGATGCATTTCAAATATACCTCCTGCACTCTTCAAATTCTGTTAACATGATATTTAAATATAATTTGCGATTTGGTACTATATTAATTTTGTTTATTAGATAAAAACAAATTAAATTACTTTTGTTTTCTTTCTACACTCATGTATTTGTTTAGGGGAAAACAAAGGTCGTATCATTTGTGGAGATGTTGGGCAAAATGCCTATGAAGAAATAGATATAATCTACAAAGGAGCAAATTATGGCTGGAGCGGAAAGAGAAGGATATCAGTGCTTTTAACCCAAAGGCCTGTGGAAAAGTAGGTGTATAATATTATATTCAACTGTCTATCATTATATTTACAATGCACACACACAAACAGACACACACATATATATATATATATATATATATATATATATATATATATATATATATATATATATATATATATATATACATATCAAAAAAATTAATAGATTTTATATAATCAGATATTTTTCTTTATTATTTCAAAGAGTATTAAAGTTGATACTCCATCTTCCAAATAGATTCCCCGCTTTTAATTATTAAGCAGTGTGTATTACAATTATTGATTGGACTGCTCATTAAAAATTTTTAGTAAAGACAAAAGTATTAACCAGCAGGGATTCAAACTGCATCCACATCATTTTAGGGGAAATCATATATATATATATATATATATATATATATATAATTATTATAAATTAATTGATTTAAAATATGGTTTTTCCACTACACAGTTCTAACCATGTTTCAAAAATGGAAGCTAAAAGCTTCGAATTTAATTTTGTAATTAAATTAAAGACATTAGTTCCATTTCATTCTCAAGCGAATTTTAGAGTAACTTATTACTGGTTCTTAAAAGCACAGCAAAAATCTTAATTCACATTTCCAAGGATACTGAGGAACCCATTCATCTAGACAAGGGGTGTTTGTGAGTTCATTATCGCTGTATTTTGTTGTATCAGTTATTAGTTACGTTTTGGATGTATTTTTCAATGAATTCTGACATCCATTAAATGCATGTCGTCTGGATTTTTTAAAAATTTATTGTTAACAGCAAAAATTCTTACAGCATTTTTTTTTTTTTTCTATTTGTATACTTAAAGATTTTGTGAGGGTGTTTAGGTTAGAATACATTTTATTTAACTACAATTTTTTTAAAATTTTCACTTTTAATTTTTAAAATACTATATTTCTTTTTAAAACAAGTAAATGTATTAGAATCACTTACAGTGTGTAAAATTATTTTTACATCAAGTATAAGTATGTATATTGCTAGGTCACAATTTTTTTTTAAATTTATATTTAAATATTATTTAAGTAAAATTTTTGACAATGATAGCAAAAATAGCTAATTAATTTCTCTGATTTAGTAAACTTTTATTTTTTATATATTTTATATAAATCCAGTAATATATAGTTTCTCATGTAAGTACAAAGGACATGGGTTATTCAATGGCTTACATCCTCTAGCTTTTCATATTAATTTCATTTTACTGTAGGTATTTTATTGGATTCTTTTAAGTGCTTGTAGTATTTTGAGAGAGGTGTTTAGTTTAGAATACGTTTTATTTAACTACAATTTTAAAAGATGTTTAGGTTAGAATTTGTTTTATTAAACTACAATTTTAAATACAACTTTAAAATATTTTCACTGTTAAT